TCTGATCCTACAGTGTTGGTCCTACTGCCAGCAGGACCCACTGCAGGTTACCACCAGCCCCTGGCCTCCCCGGTACCAGACACTGTATCACCTTGTGACCACGCTTGTTGGACTAACAGCATTTCAGATTCTCTCCCCTCCCTCCCCCCAAGTTCCTTTTTTGGGTCCTGGTTTGGGTTTCCCGCGCCGCTATGACTTGGTTTAGCCTATTCTCCTTTCTGGGGAGTCCTGATTCGGGATCAGTTTTGTGCCACTCTCCCTTGAATTTTTTATCAAACCCAGGCAGACTCTGTGCATATTGGTCAGCCCATTTCCCTGATAGAGTTGCATCTCTGGGCTCTTTGTCTATTTAACATGATTTCAGGGCAGGGGGATTTCACCAACAGTGGTAACCCCCCAACTAGTTACCCATATTCTTATGTAACCCTTAATTTCAGTTGAAACCTTAGAATTGTTCACATCCCCTCTTTTCTGAATTTCCTGAAACTTCCTCCTATACGCCGCAGGAGTCAATTTCAACGTCTGCAACAAAGCTGATTTATAGAGCTGATAATCTTTATAGATCCCTCTGTCCATATCAGTGAAAGCATCTTCTAGGGCCTTCCCTGGCAGTAGCAGCACCAGAGACCATCTTGTGTCATCCTGCCCCATCTTGTTCAATTCACATCCCATTTCAAAAGCATTTAGCAATATATCTATGTCATCCCCTACCCTAAAGTGAGGTAATAATTTGAAGTCTATGCCGGGAGCCCCAGAAGCTCCCTAGTAGTGGGGGGGGTCACCGGTGCCCAAACCATGGCCACACCCCTGCTTCGCCTCTTCCTCCCCAGGCCCCACGCCTGCTCCACCCCTTCCCCCGAGGCCCTGCCCCCCACTCACTCCTCTCTGTCCCCCTCTCCCGGTCACTCACCCTTAAGACTATGCCCTCCCACTTTTAAAAGTGATGGGGCCATGGCCCTCTGCACCCCCCATTTCAACGCCCCCGGTCTATGGCATCCATTGGCACAGGTACGTGGGGTCTCGCTCCATCTATCAGCTTAGGGTTTGCTGGTGCAGTCTTTCCATCTCAAGCTGATGTGGATGCTCTTTATCCTTCTCTCCCTCTTCATGCGGATGCTGCTTCTCCTGGTCCGGAAGCAGCTGGACTTCCAGATGCAGTCTGTCCCTCTCCAGCTGCAGCCACTCTCTCTCTACCTGCAGATGTGGCCATGATCTCTACTGCTGTGGTGCATTTGGTCTGGACGGAACATAGCTGCTGCTTCTGTCAGCCTCTTCCCTGCTTCCCTCTACAGAGGTGTCTCCAAGATTTCCTGGCCCTGCTGGACTCTCTGTCAGTATCCTGGATGTGCTCCTGGACCACCATTTCTTTTCTGGTTCTCAAAGTATAGTTAAATGAATTCTTGCAATGGTCTTCACTGCAGAGGATGTGCAGGAGATTCCCCACCCCCAAGCCATTCTTTTTAGGTGACACATCTGAGGAACTGTCCCTTGCAGAGATGTCAATAGAGGAGGTTTTGAACCAAACTGATCAATTAAGCAGTAGTAAGTCATCAGGACCAGATGGGATTCACCCCAGAGTTCTGACAGAACTCAAATATGAAATTGCAGAACTACTAACTGTGATATGTAACTTATCGTTTAAACCAGCCGCTGTACCACAAGACTAAAGGATAGCTAATAGGATTGTCTGTTTTTTAAAAAGTCTCCAGAGGCGATCCTTGTAACTATAGGCCTGTAAGCCAAACTTCAGTACCAGGCAAATTGGTTGAAACCACAGGCAGCATGTGACTCTTGTGTTTGGGGAGTCTGGACGCGAGCGCCAGAAGCTCCCTAGAAATTGGAGGGACCACCAGCACCCAGATCATGGCCCTGCCCCCTGCTCCATCACAAGGTCCTGCCCCACTCCACCTCTTCCCACCCCTGCTCCACCTCTTCCACCGAGGCACCCCCCTGCCCACCGCTCACTCCTCTCCACCTCCTCCCCTGAGCCCCCTGCTGCTCGCTCCTTTCTGTCCCCTCCTGCCTTAAGGACGAGTGACAGGGGAAGGGAGCAGAGAGGAGTGGGTGGGGGCCTCGGGGGAAAAGGTGGAGCAAGGGTGGGAAGTGGTGGAGCAAGGGTGGGGTGTGACGGGGTGGACTAGGCCCTGATGCCCCTGCTGGAGGCCTTGTGGCCCTGCCACACCCTGCCCCCAAAAAGGGCAGTAGAGAGGTCCTCCAAGATGCCTAGAATGGCTGTGTGGGAAGCAACCAATCAAGGCCCAGCAGCCTAGGATAAGAAGAGCTTCAGGGCCATACTGAGAGCAGTTCCTTGCTAGAGCTGGAGGAGAGTAGATGGCTCTGGGCTGGCTGCTGGGACTCCATTAGGACAAGGCGCTGAGGTAAGGGTGAAGACAGCACGGGGAAATGGCCCTGGGAATTAGAGAAGCCGTGTGACGCAGTTAAAGAGACACAGCAGATGGCTTCTCTCTACAGGGTCCCTGGGCTGGAACCCAGAGTAGTGGGCGTGCCTGGGTCTTCCCCAACTCCCGTTAGTCACTGGGATAAGTGGCCTGGACATTGAGGCACCCCCAGAGAGGGGAACCGAACTGCAGTGGCCCAGCTGAAGAGTTGTGGCCAGAAAGGCCCTAAGAGGGCAAAGACATTACCTCCAGGGAGGGAGCGCTGGAGCACTGCTCTATCCCGGAGCAGGGACAACTTGTGGGAGACATTATAGGGGGCACAGAGAGAGATCCCTGTTGGACTTGTACCCCAGAAGGGTTTGATTTCATCACACAGACAGACTGTGTGTGACTCGGCCAGAAGGCTGAGTCACCAAAGGCACACCACAGAGAGAGAGAGTGCAGGTACACGCACTCGGCCAGGGGGTGCTCATGAGAGGTGAGTGCAACTCCATGACATGGGGACATGGGGGAAGTTGGGACTGGATGACAGAAGATGGATCTATTCCGTTCATTTCCTCTGAAACACCTGGCATTGGCCACTGTCAGAAGACAGGATACTGGGCTAAAAGAATCATTGGTCTGACCCAGTATGGCCATTCTTATGTTCTTATTTTCCCCTGTTTCTCGCTTCACTCTTTCTTTCCAGAAAAGACAATGAGATCTTTCACTGTGCTTTCCCCTTCATCAGTACTTGCTTTCTCTGCTGTTGGCCCTTGACTAGCAGTTTCCCACTGTCCTAGATTGAACACTCTGCCACAGCGTGTCACAGTTCCAGGGTTAACTGCTCCTTTGACTCCACTCCTGGTCTTCCTTGAGGGCACCCACTTAAAGTTTTTAGGCTTCCTAAACATCACCTCTCTCAGGCAGAGACCTGCTTCTCTAGCTCCCTCCAGACTGGGGGCTTGTAGCAGTCCCTCTGCATTTCACTCTGATTTCCCCAGCAGCCCTGACTAAGGTCCCACTCTTGTGGTTAACCTTTCTCTGCGGGCTACAATAAGTTTACACTAGTTACCAACCAGTCTTCACAAAGCAAAGCATCTGTTCTTAAGGCAAAATCATTACTGAGAAAATAGATAAAAACAGTGACTGTTCCGAGATCACCCATCAGTCTTATGGGGCTGTACCAAGCCAAAGTCTTTCCAACCCTTCTACAAGTGTTGTGCCCCCCCCTTGGACAGAAGGTCCTGTTTGTTTGTTTGAATCATAAAGGAGGCCCCTCAGTCACCCCAAACTCAGCCTTTATATACCCAAAAGCTCTTTCTTTGCTTCCTGGAACACCCAGCCTGAACTAGTCTATGCAAACCTCCCTATGGGGTGGTACCTCTCTGGAGGTGTTTACAGCCTGAGTGATTCATCTTAATCACCCCTACACCCACACACACAGATTTGAGTTCTCAGAGGAGCTGTGGTAACCCCCACCCCCCCAGAGTTGCATACACTCTCTGGTCCACAGTGAGATCTAAAACATCCATAAACTTAATACAATATGGTCCCCGAAAGAAACTGCAGGTGGTTGCAACATCTGTCCCAGTGGCATGTCAAATAGGCGTTCTACAAACAACAGCTATATAGAGCAGCACTTCATATTTCACAAAAGACTTAAAACCTCCTTCTTCCAGTAATCTTTTCCACTCTGTCAAGCATCAGCAAGTGCCACTTCACACCACAAGCCCCAGACTTGTACTCTCCTTTTCTTACCTGATCTGGTGTCCAGAGCTTTATCTCATCTAACAGCTGTGCCACTGTAAGCCCATTAGTGTACACATGACCTTCAAGGTAAATCCCGCCAATGCTTTATTGGTGTTATAAGAGTGTAAACGTGGGTGGTTGGGGGAAGGAGAGAAGTTGGCTCAGGAATTTTAAGCTTTTGGGGGTAGGGAAGTCTGTTTTTCCCCTAGTGGTAAAGGATCATGCACATTTATGGCATCTCTAAAAAACATTTTAAAATTAGCAATAACAATGTAAAGGAAGTTAATTACATGGTATGGTAAATTCCTTACATTATATGGCCACCCTGTAGCTCAGCACAGAGCAGAATAGGGTGACCAGATGTCCCGATTTTATAGGGACAGTCCCGATTTTTGGGTCTTTTTTTTATATAGGCTCCTATTACCCCTCACCCCCGTCCCGATTTTTCACACTTGCTGTCTGGTCACCCTAGAGCAGAAACATATTTCCATTCATTTCTGGAAGATTAGTGCTGTCACAAATAGTCTGAAATCATATTTTTCCCTTTCCTTGTTTATGTTTTAGCCACGTACTCCTGCAGTTTCAATCCCTGGGGTAGAAAACCCAACACTGCAAGAGTTAAACGGTTACTGAGTTATCCATACACACATAACGGTGCTGGAAAATATGGCTTTCCCCAAGATCCCAGCTCATGACATCACTCTGCAAAAATAAGTACCCTGATAAAGGCTTCCCCATCAGCCCTAGTTGGTAGGGCAGAGGTGAGCTGCTGGCACAAACCCAGATTGCACTGAATTCCTGTGGCTGCAGATGCCTGTATGATAGGAACACAGGAGTCTTCCTGGCAAAGTATTGTGCATACAGCTTACATCAGGCATTCTCTGGACGAAATATCTCCTTGAAAACAGCCACACAGGCTGGAGCAAAGCTGTCCCCTTCTGTGGAGCGGCTGGGGCGCTGGGAAGCAGAGTTCAGCACCGGCCTGCTGAACAGCTCCCTGACTCCTTGCCGGAACTTGGGGTCCCAGGCACTGTAGATGGCCACGTTCCAGCAGCTATTGGAGGTCAGAATCCAGAAGGCGTAGAAGGAGAACTCACACCACTGGTAGCCCAGCACAGAGCCCACCACGAA